AGTAAGTGCATTTCTAAAAAATAAACTACAAGTAACTCTAAATAAGATTGTAAGGTTTATTCTGGCCCTTCCCCCAAGAGCACATGTCGAATTAAATGAGTTTAAACCTGTGATAAGCTTTCACCTTGGAAATGTTCATCAACCATGATTGTTATTTTTGTACACTTTTAATTTTAATTCTTAATTGCTTGTTTATAGTACCCCATTGAAATTAAGCTGTTTTCAGCTTTATGGGTTATCCTGGCATTTTGTCATTGTTGTTACATCTTGGTCCTACTTTGAAAAACTGTAATTACAACAAAGACTATAATTACCATATTCCAGTAAATTGAAACGTTTTATGATATCTTCATTTTTGTAGACAGTTTTGCAAACAAATAGATGATCTAATGTTGATACATTTTGGATTAACAATGTGGAATTCATATGGTTAAATACATATCTGGCATCGGACGTATTTGATAGTCTCCCATCCACATTAGACACAATCAATTTGCCATATCTATCTTCCCAGTACTCTGCGATATGCCTATCGTGTTGCCCATTATCACATTTTAAAATAGTTCTTCCATTTATGCATACAAAGTTTGTTTCTAAATTATAAGAAAATAAAATATCATTTGTGATAATATCATCATAATCAACACAGTCCTCGTCATCATCACTTTGAGTATTGTCAGTAAATTGGCTACTTATTTGAATAGCATTTACATGATCATTACCTGAATTTCCATTTAAATAAAACCAAAATTGCTTATTTTGAAATTCAAATAAAATAAAATAAAAAAAACTGATAAGTTTTTCAATCATCATCATTACCATTAATTTCCTTGGTAATTTTGTTGGTTCCACTACTTCTCAACTGCCTGCTTTTTGTTTTGTTAGTGTCTTTTGTTGAACTGCACACACCATCAGGATAAGGTTCACCTAAATATTGGAAAAAAATATGCCAGTGCAGTTAGAAAATACTAACACATGGTTAGTTGCTAAACCATTTCTATCTGGTTCACAACCTCGAGGCTGGTGTTTTAATCCTTTGCTGTGCAATTCGCTTGTGTCAAGGCAATTTATCTACATTGCTTCAGCATACCTGGCTGCTTCACTCTCATCCGCTTCACCTTACAGAAACTGGGATAAGCTACAGCCCCTATGGGCCCTAGCGGCAAGGATATACTTTTTTTTAACTATTTATGTATTTTTATTAGACATAATGTTTAATAGAACATTCTACAGAATGCGAATTTGGTGTGAAATATTACTTACTGTACTCGACTAGAGTAAAATGCTGTTTTTTTTCTTTTTTCCTCGATACAACATCACAATAGAATTGTTCACCATCCTTTGGAAATGCTATTTTCAATGATAATCCTTGGACTTCAAATCGGTCAGATGAGGAGTATGTTTTATGTGGACTTTTTTTGGTAATTTTGCCCTTATTAACAGTCTGTGATGCTACAACATAATCTGTAGAGTTTTTCCAGTATAATTTGGTGAAATCACTGGTAACATTGCAATATATTGTTGCACTCTGTTCAGGACAAAAATATATTGTTTTCACCTCACACTCTACTTCTTTGACAACTGCAGAGAAAGACAAACAAATTACAAATGAACTGTTACTATAAACACCCAATAGTATGAATTCATTTAATGAAAATGTTTTTAAATGTGTATCAGTGTAAGGTTTAAAAATATTGTTGTTATATTTTTTATGTGTAGTACTATTGTTGATATAAGATGATAATTAACTTAATTCTTTAAAACCTGTGTATTTTCAAATAAATAGTGGAAGACAAACATGTTTTATTCTCATTTGTATAATCACCAAAAAGCTATGAAGACTGAAATCTAGTTCCATAAAATTGCTACACTATTTCAATGCAATTGTTACACTGCATAGCTTTCCCTGACGCAACTGGGAAGTCTCACCAATTTCACCAAGCAAACAGTGCTGCAAAAATGTATCGGCAATAGCATGTATTTTTCTTTATTTGGTATTTAAAAAAAATAAATAATGATGAGGGCAAACAACATTTTGTTAGGCATCTTTGATGGTGTTATGATGATAATTTAGTTATTAAATAGTAAACCAATTTAATCTTTTATTTCAAGTTACTGAAAATTTATCTTAAAGATGGTGTAAGATATAAAAAAAATATATATTTTTAAAAATCCATATTTACTCTGGAATTTGAGGTAATTATCATATTTTCGAATATGGCAATATTAGTGAAGATGTTGTAATAGCACCGAAAGTTTGGAGTTCCAGTGAGAGCAACGTACTACATGCATAATAACAACACATCAAATTTCAAACTTACACATAATGATGGTGAAAAATAATCTTAGGGAATTCATTTTCTGTCAAAAAAGAAAAAAAAAACATTTACAGCATTATAAAAAATATTTACTGTAATGAATTTTTTGATATAAAAATCAATTTCAATACAGCAACAGAAACAACAATAGTAAAAGACTCAAGCTAAAACTAAAAATAATGAAGCAGGGTTAGTAGGCATTGGTTTTGTGTGTGCAAAATCATTAATATTCATTTCTGACACATTCTCTTGTCCCTATTCTATTGTAACTGATCAATAAACTTCATCTGGTTCTTAAAATTTATAGTGAGACCATGGAGGTATTATTGAGAAGGAGATCACTCGAAAAAGCTATGCGCACGCAGCGCTATGCAAATGAACCAAGATCAAAGCTGCCGCAGCTCGTGAAGAACGTTTGCGCGATGCCTTTGAAGTCCCATGTGTTCCCCGCCATCAAATTTTCAGCAGGCATAGTTGACCAAAAAATTGAACATGACGAAATGGAGAGCACCTTCTTTTCTCAATGCGCACTACATACTGTCAATCACTATGGCTGCGCAATCTTTTCTATTTTGAAGCTGGTACATTTATCTCTCATAAAATCTCAAACATATTAATATTTTCCACCAAAAAAAAAGTTTCGAACATTTACATAACCTTTAAAAGTATAGTATAGTTCAACTTCAATTTCCATAAATTGGCCAAAATTCGCTAATTCTGATTTTAACAGATATTAATTAATAAATGATTGAGGATTATAATAAACTAAGTCATTTTAGGGTTAA